CTTTTCCGGAACAGGGATGCTAATGAGACAAGTCGGAATTGCAAATGCCGCGGGGGATTTAAATATCCCCCGCGGCATTTGCATGAACATGGCTGCCACCTTTTTCTGGCTTGGGGCTTTGCCGGAGAAAAGCGCCAGTCTAGACGGGATCTTTCGGAAAATAAAGCCTTTTCCGGAAGATCCCTTATTCCTCTTAAAATCAGGAATAAGGGATCTTCCGGAAAAGGCTTTATTTTCCGAAAGATCCCGTCTAGACTGGCGCTTTTCTCCGGCAAAGCCCCAAGCCAGAAAAAGGTGGCAGCCATGTTCATGCAAATGCCGCGGGGGATATTTAAATCCCCCGCGGCATTTGCAATTCCGACTTGTCTCATTAGCATCCCTGTTCCGGAAAAGGGTGCCAATATAGACACAGCCATGCAGAACCCAGAAAGCAGTATAGCATGTGTGATACATATTATGACAGAGGTTGGTGGTTCCAAACCATTCCTAAGATATTTCTGCCTTTGGGGCAATGGGGCCGGATAGGAGAGAAGAGGAGGGAGAGAGTGCACTGCAGGTCTCAGAGGGGCAGCCATGTTAGTTAGTAACTGAAAAAAATTAAATTCATTTTGTTAATTTCTGAAAGTTAGAAAATTTAACACTATAATATGAGGTTTATCTGGAATTTATTAATCTGTGAAGGTGTTTCTATTATGAAAACTTCAACTGAGACTCTATCTGGAATTTTTGAGGAGATTATAAAATATTGTACCAACAATGATTACCATGTCTGAGCTATCTCCACAACAGAATCCTGGTTGAGAAAAACAAAAACAAAAAAACCAAAACCAAAACCAAAACCAAACAAACTCAGATTAGCTGCAAACATGAAAACTTTCACAGCAAAAAAACTTCCGGAACCCCAAAAGACTAGCAAAAACAGCTAGTACACATTACTTCTGCAGAAAGAAAATTCTTTGCACATTCAGATAAATATGAACATCTGAAAATGAGACTAGTAAATCCATCTGCAGAAACTTCTGTCTAAAAACTATCTATTTTATTGTGTAAATGAATCCCATGGCCTGGAGTATAACAGAAAATCATGTAACATAGCTGTTCATGCTCCAGGCTTGCATATGACATCTAACAAGAAAATCTCCAGCCATTTAAAACATGGGTTATTATGTAAATGTCAAGCACATTCACTCATTGGGCTTGATATTAACTACCACGTGAAAGGAAGGAGCACAAAAAGACAGAGAAGAGAACCTCAAAGCAGTATTTGTCAGCTGAAGGAAGAAAGTCACAACCAGCAACTAAAGGCAGACCATCACTTGTAAGCAGAGTAGATTTGAGCCTAAAAAGGAAAGGAGGCATCAGCTAAAGGCAGACTTCAAGTGTTTCCTTGTTAAGAAATTATCAAAATGTGTTATTTCTCAGAAGATATACTCCAGAACTCAGCTTAAAGGAAAAAAGAAATCTTTTGGAGATGCCCTACCTTTATGAATTCTGATAGCAAGACAGAATGGAATTAAAATCTATGGTTATTACTATAGAGTAGACTCCTGCACTTAGGATGGAAGAATCCCATGAATTGCCACAGGGTGGGGACCAACTGGGTAAGAAGCAGTACTGCAGAAAAGGATTTAAGGATGATAGTGGATGAGAAGCTGGATATGAGTCAACAGTGTATCCTTGTTGCCAGCAAGGCTAACAGCATATTAGTAAGCTGCATAGTAAGAGCATTATTATTCACCTCTGTTTGGTATGTCTGAGGTCACATATGGAGCATTGCATCCAGTTTTAACACACACACACACACACACACACACACATACACACACACACGGGAGTGGAGAAAGTGGAGAGAGTACAGTGCAGGCCAATGAAAATTATTAGTATCAGAGGGGTAGCTGTGTTATAGTCTGTATCTGCAAAAAGAAAGATGCAAAAGCATTTGATGAAGTGGTCTTTGCCTACGAAAGCTTATGCCCAAATAAATGTGTTAGTCTGCAGAAGAGAAGATGAGAGATTTGATAGCAGCCTTCAATTATCTGAAGTGGGGTTCCAAAGAGAATGAAACTAGGTTATTCTCAGTAGTGGCAGATGACAGAACAAGAAGCAATGGCCTCAAGTTTCAGTGGGGAATGTCTAAAGATAACAGGAACAATTATTTCACTAGGAGGGTGGTAAAACACTGCAATGGGTTGCCTTAGGAGGTGGTGGAATCTCCATCTCTAGAAGTTTTTAAGGCCAGGCTTGACAAAGCTCTGGCTGCAATGATTTAGTTGAGGTTGTTCCTGCTTTGAGCAGGAGGTTGGACTAGAGGATATTCTGAGGTCTCTTCCAACTCTAACCTTCTATGATTTTACCACAGTATTAAATAATAGTAAGGAAAATAATTATTTTATTGAGTTTGATTAGTCATAAGAACGGCCATACTGGGTCAGACCAAAGATCCATTTAGCCCACTATCTTGTCTGCTGACAGTGGCCAATACCAGATGTCCCAGACGGAGGGATGTCAACAGGAAATCCTCACGTGATCCCTCCCCTGTCACCCACTTCCAGAGAAACAGGCTAGGGACACCATTCCTACCCATCCTGGCTAATAGCCTTTGATGGACCTAACCTCCAAGAATCTATCTAGCTCTTTTTTGAACCTTGTTAAAGTTCTAGCCTTCACTGCATACTCTGGCAAGGAGTTCCACAAGTTGACTGTGTGTTGAGTGAAGAAAAACTTCCTTTTGTTTGTTTTAAATCTGCTGCCTATTAATTTCATTTGGTGACCCCTAGTTCTTATATTGTGGGAACAAGTAAATAACTTTTCCTTATTCACTTTTTCCATACCAGTCATGATTTTATAGACCTCTATCATAACCCCCCTTAGTCTCTTTTCTAAGCTGAAAAGAGTCCTTTGTTCTTACATATTATAGTCTGGCATAGAGATATATTATGTACAGGCAGTCCCCGAGTTACGTGGATCCGACTTATGTCGGATCCGCAGTTACGAATGGGGTTTGCTTCGCTGCCGGCGTCCTCAGAGGCTTTGCTCCCCGTCTTACTGGTCTGCTGGTCTCCAGCAGACCAGGGAGACATGGAGCAAAGCCGCGGAGGACCCGGGCGGCGGGACCGCAGTGCATCTCGGTCCCCCGCCCGCGTCTTCCTGGTCTTCTGGGGGGGGGGGGGGGGCGGTGGACGCAC